GTGGTGATGGTGAAGCTGATGCTGTTGGTGATGTTGTTTGTGATGGTGAGGGCGATGGTAACGACGTCGACGACAGCGACGGTGATGGCGACGATAATAATAAAAACGGCAGTGATGTGGATAGTGGTGGCTATGAAGCAATTATATCAAAAAAGTGATTTTTTTTTGTCTCATAATTGCTTACATAAATATCGAAGAAGTTTCTGCTGTTTTTTTGTTTATTCTGTTTAGTCGATAACGTTTTTTGTTTGACATTTCTTTGGCTGTAAGCCACTTAAATAAATGAATAATTAGATAAAATTATAATTGAATAAATATGAAAACCTTTTAACTTTTTCTCCACTTTTTTTTTAAAATTTCTTTTTATTTTATTTTGTTGTCGTTACCATTAAGCAGATAGAATAAATCATAATGAAGGAAAATTAATGCTATTTTTTGCACCACTGCTTGTTGCTTGGGGGGGGAGGGGGGGAGCGAATAAGGAATAAAGGAAGAAAACAAAAAGATGTGACAGAAATTTTTTTTATTTAAAAGTGAATAGCTTTAATTTTTAGGGTAGATTAGAAAAAAGAAGAGGAAGAAAACAAATTAAACTTTTAATAAAAAGTATTTTCAATGTTCAATATTTGGCGGTGTTTAGTTGCTTCTTTTTGATACTTTTTAATTTGACAAACTTTTAAAGAATAATAATGTACTCAGTGAAGACGTCGACTTTGAAGATAATGTTGACGACGATTCTGATGGCGACGATGTAGAAAGAAAGAAGGTTATTAAAGAACGGAAAAGAATGGAATAGTGGAGATGAGAGACGGGGAGGGGGAGCTGAGGAAAGAATTGAATGCAGTTGAAGCAGATTGAAAAGGATTTATTCCTGTTCAAAATCTGTGTGTATGTATGTCTGTGTCTGTGTGTCTTTGACTTCGAGAAGTATTATCACTTCAAAAACATTCTTTTAGTTGCCTTAAACAACTCCGCCCCATAAATATAACATCAAATGACTTTTGAAACCATTTTTATGTTGTTAGTTGTTGACGATAATTCAAAAAGCGGCATCATCACCATCATCATCATCATCATCATCATCATCATCAGTAGCGGCAACAGCAGCAGTGGATAGAAGACGGAGAGGATGAAATTAAAAACAACTTTTTTTGCCTTAGCTTATTTGAGCATCTTCCAACGGAAACTTCAGACAACTAGATGGACAGATGATCACTACCCATCAAACATATATAATTTTCATTTTCTTTTCTCCCTATTTTTTTCTATTTTGAGCATACGGCAAAAAAAAATATTGGTAAAAATTGAAATGAACTTTGGCCTTTTTTTTGCTGTTACGAATTATTTGATCTTATGGAATAGGTTTTTTATTTTTCACTTAAAGCTTATTTTTGTTGGTCTTAATGCTAACTTATTCGCTTAGGTATTAAGATGTATTTACAATGAGTATATATTTGATTTGTTTACAGTATACAGCGATGTTTTTTGTGTATTTCTTTATTTGATTTACCAATAACCTTTCCAGCGCATTACTGTATCAACGTTGTTTTTGGCGAAAAGTTAAAGCGGAATTTTTGAAGGCTGAATTATATGCTGATTGTTTGCAAATACTGACATGAAAGGTGGGTGGTGGAAAAAGAATGAGAGAGGGGGGGGACAGAAGGGAGAAGGAAAAGAGAAAGAAAGAACAAAAAGGAATAGAGTGAAGAAAAAAGAGAAAATTAATGTGATAAGGAATGTTGGAGCTATTTGAGGTTTGATTAAGACGACGATTTAGTGACGCAAAAAAGTTAGCGGACTTTTTTTTTTTTTATTTTATTTTATTCTTTTTTTTTTTGTGGGAGGTAAATACAGATAAAAGAGTAGGAAAAAAATTGAACGATAAAATTAATGAATTCAATGGTGAAGTAAGTTTTCTGACGGCAGTAATATACGTATATCCTCATACGAATGTGTGCTCGTGTCAAATCGACCTGCTGTTGGAAGGGAATTGGAATGGAACGGAACGGAATGGAGTGGAATGAATCGGGGGAGGGGAATTCGAAAAGGAAGAGAAGGGAAGGGAAGGGAAGGGAAGGGATTCGGATAGAATGGAAAGCGAAGCCGTCGCCACTCAATTGCCAACTAGGCTGTAGTGTTGTTGTTGGTTAGCTTAAAACTTATAACTATCGGCAATTTCAGTTAACTAGCAAAAAAAAAAAA